AGCAGACTCCTTATCACGAATGGTAACCTTTTTGTTTGCAGATCACGAGAAGCAGCCAGAGGCAAGATGATAATGAAAGTAGCCGAAGAAGCAATCCAGGATAAGAGAATTAGTAAAGACCAAAGGATGGAAGAACTCAAGCAAATGCAAAGCCTTTTGGAAGAATTGAAGTTACTACCAAAACCCATAATCAAAACCAAGGACCAACCGCAGGAAGTTACTTACCCTTAGCCCAAAGATTTACTCAAGAAAGTCCTTTCAACCTTAAACCCACAAAGCATGGCAAACATGAATCTGGCCCAATTTCATGAAGCCCATAAAAAGGAGAAAAATTGTAAACCCAATGGTATGAGCAGAAAACCCATGACGATAGCGGAAGATGGGAATGGTATGGAGCACGTTTTGGAACATACTCAATACGGGCTAATAAAGTTGAATTTTTGGATATTCCATAGCGTCTTCTTCGGTTGTGACGGCAACTGTTTTTTCTGTGTTTATCGCACCAAAGGGGTCTTTCTGATCATGTTCATCTTCGTCTTGTTCATCCCGTCTCCCAGCCGGAAGGTATGATGTCCTCTATTGCAATTGTTTCAGAAGGGGGATCATATTTGACCAGATAGTCAAATTTTCCAGATGGCTCTCCTAGAGTATCCCAATTGTTTTGTTGAATAAATGCCCCAATAAATTCTTCTTCAGGCTCATCTTGCTCAAGGACTTCTCTATCATTATTGTCAACAGAGTATCTTCTAGGTTCTGGCCTTCGTGAGTATCTTGTGAACTTTAAGCTTTGTGATCTGTCAAGCCTGTTATTGACAGCTACTCCGATTGGAACTCTGACTGTTGCTTGAGTTGATGGTTGAAGGTGCCAACTTCTTCCCTCAAGGTCTGATATGCTTAGATTCTCGCCTGGAATTGCTATGATTCCGCTTGTTTCCAGGTGGTCTACTGCATTTTGGACTTCATATTCAAAGCCCATGTAGCTGGTGTTTGATAATCATCCGGTGAGATTAATGGTTACCAGGAGGTTGCTTTCTCCTCCTTGCCATGCTTCATAGCCATGAGTTTGGATTGCAACTTCAATGTGGTTATGGAAATCTTCTGTGCTTATCATCATATTGCACCATATAGATTAACTGCGTTCCTGCAGATAAGTCTATTTCCATTGTCCCTATGATGCTGTACTGTTTTCCCATCTAGTATCACAGAGTACTGCTAGTGCCATAGTCCCTCCTCCTCTCCTATGGAGTGCATGTATGCGGATCATAATTAATCCCATGTGTACATGTTGCAACCCTGATTCTTGAAGTTGTCTGTAACTTTGATCATTACAGAGCCTTATATTTGTCTGTTGCCCTTCTGTTACCAGTATCCTTCTTTCTGAATAGTGTTGATACACTCTGTGACGAACTGTGGTTCTGTTGTTGGAGTACAGGACTTCTGCCGGAACGAGACTTGCCCTTCTGCTTCTTGAAAGTTCTAGTTGTCTTTCTGGGTTAACCATGGATTCTAAGGTTCTGTTGTACCTTGTTCCAAACGTCCTCTGAAGACTTCTTCTTGTGTTGTACTGAAGTCGTTGAATCTGTTGATATCCTCGTATCTGATCTTCTTGTGTTGGTGGTTGAGTCTGGGTTACAGATTCTCTGTTAAGAACGGCTGCCCTGTGGCTCATTTTCTCGAGTCTTTCTTGTATTCTTCTTTAAATATTATGTTGGGATCTTGGTAAAAGTATATAGGACCTTGTTTTCTTGAAGTAACTGTTTTTTCCGTAATTGAAACTTTGTCTAACCGTTTGGATAAGCTGATGATGGATTCTTCAAGGTCTGCGGGTGTTGCTTCTTTTCCACGACTGACTTCCTTTTGTAGTCTTTCAACCTTTTCTTCTATTTCTGAAAGCTTCTAGTTTTGCTTTATTACTAGATATAATAGGGTGTTGTTTTGTTTAATTATGGTTGCGTTTTGCGCTGCTACACCACTTTTGTAATCAAATGGTTTTGCAAATCCAACTGCAGGTGAATCAAAGTCTTCTGTTGCACCGACGGCTTCCTGATAGTCCGAACTAGCTCTGACACTAGCTAGGCTCATGAGGTTAAGAAGGCTCTTACTTCATGCAGAAGGCGTTCAACCTTCTGGATCTTCTGATTAAGGTCTTCCGTGAGTTTGAGTGCTTATTTCTCAACCAATTTTGGTTGCTCGACTATTCTTTGAACTAGATCGAGAACTTGACTTTTAGTGAGGGGTTGATATTGATGTACTTCAAACGAGATTTGCTGTAGGCTTTTTCTGGTTTCACTCTGGGTTTTTCTTATCAATTCCCTCACAGGTTTCTAAACGAAGTTGTAATTCCTTTTGATTTTCAAGTATCTGATGAAAACGTTTGATGCAAACTTTTGCGTGTAAAAGTAGTTTATCATGAATACAGGAAATATTATTACTTAAAACTGGCAGCTTGACCTTTTGAGTTTCTTCAAGGTTGAGATATTCAAGGTTAGCAGTTCGGGAATGTTTATACCAATCTGCTATATCTTGTTCAAAACGATCAGTCATAGAAAATAATAACTTCTGTATTTATACTAAGGGAGTTACTATTCTTATTGGACTTGTGGATGCTAAAATTCTTTGAAAAATGTTCACGTTTCCACACATAATTCCCCTTCTGGGTACTTGATCGCGTGTACTTTGGCTTTTACATTAGTTTTTGAAAACAGGACCCACATAAATAAGAAATCCAATAACAACCGTTTAGGATAATACAGACGATATTACTTTAAATAACCAAAGATTTTTAACAAAACTAGAAGAAAGGTACAATATCCTTTTCCTGCAAACCTTGAATGGGCTTTAAGCTACCATGCTTATAAACGCTTTGTTCATAAGCTCTGATACCAAATAAAAATATAATAAAATATTTACCAGGAAAGTATTTTTATTCTAAGAACAAAGACTAAATCTTAGAATATTCAAACATATTTATTAAAACTTACTTTAAAAAAAGGTTTAAGAACTTCCAACTTATATTTCACACAATATGATTCTTACAAGGGAGATAGAGAGAGAAGTGTATATGCTTTTCGATGCCTCTCTATCGGAAAATAAACACACTTATTTATACAAGATTTTAAGTGGACAACTCAATTATAGAGAAAACCCACGATAAGGTAGCTGGTCCACCTATTATTCAAACTTATTCACAGCTGGCTTCAATAATTCTCAGGACTGCTGTGAGGTGGGGCAGGTTTCTAGAGAAAATTTGACAAACCAGGCAAAGTAGGATAATAATTTAAACAAACAGACAAACAGCTGTAAAGTGGTCCGAACACGTTGCTTTTTAGAGTCGACAGTATCTGGCTCCACGTATATTGGTTCTTAGAATAAAAATCATTTCAGTCCTGAGTCTTTCTGCATATTCAAAGCTATGTGTGAACTTGATCGCTGGTAAATATTTAAACAAACAGACAAAAGCTGTAAAGTGGTCCGAACACGTTGCTTTTTAGATAGCTTTGAATATGCAGAAAGACTCAGGACTGAAATGAGAGTCGGATAACTTCTCAATCCAGATTTGTATCTTGATTTGGATGAACTGCGGTAGGTGGCGATGTTGAATGTTGACGGCGAGAATGGAGGTTGTGGAAGACCAGATTTGTAGCAGAGAAGTGGTGGCGGTGGAGAACCGGATACCGCCCATCGAGCACGTTTTTCCGGCGATTATGGTGGCCGACTATGAAAGGGGAGGTGGCAGCATCTGGCGGCGGGCGGCGATAGTGACTTCCCGGTGTGGCGGCTGAAAACAAATTGCTGAAATCACTTTTAGGTTTAAGCGGTGGTGAGGTTTTTTTTTTGAATAAAAATAGATAATAAAAAATGGAAAAACAAACTCTAAGGGCATAATGATCTTTTTAAGTAGATAGGGACCAAAAACGATAGAAATATTCAATTTTGGACCAGTGATGCACCAACGTTTCATTTTGGACCAAAAACACATAATTATGCCAACCACAGGGACCGTTTTTGCAATTTTGTCAATTTTCTTTCCCTCATATATTGCTAAAGAGTATCATTGATTTCGTATAATAAAAGGTACTTTTATACATGTTTTTGAAAGTAAAAACTTAATAAAACATCTGACAAGAATAGAAACGATGATAAGATGTCATATAAATGAATGAAAAAGGGCACCGATACCATCAGAATACTAATCTGGTTTTATGGGTGTGAATCTTTCCCTCTTTTTCTTTTCTCTTGATGTCTTTTTGTTGTATAGTGGCGTTGTAGTTGTACTCTTTTACTAGTCTTGTTCTAGGGTTTTGCTTTGCTCAATGTGAAAAGGACTTGTCTTTTTCTCCACTAAAAGCCATTTCGGTGTGTTCTTTTTACTTCAAAGAGTCGACCTTTCTTTACAGGAGAGCAAAATACGAAAAGGGAATTTCTTGTTCAAACAAAGAAATGTCTGCAGAGACTGGCGTAACTTTCCCTTATTTTCAAAGTTTCTCACCTGATGTTCAACAATTCGATGATCTCTGTTACTCCCACAAATCCAACTCGTGCTTGGTAATTGACTAATTTCACTTTTACTACTTCTATTCACATTTAATTCTTCTATTTGATTGTATCGATCAATTGGTTCATCTTGTTGATTTCAATGGTGACGCTTTGGGCTTTTTCAGAATTAGGGTTTTCGCAATCTTGAATTGAAACTCATCGTAATTGATAGGGTTTTTCCTAATAATTATCGGTCCATTTTCTGTTTCTAATACAGGGGAGTGTGGTTCAGAGCTCCGTTATATCAGATTTCGATTTTGGGGGTGAAGGGGATCTTTTCAAAGCACAAGAACCGATGATCGAGCAACCATTGGTTACTGTTGACTCTATGTCGGCGATCACTTGTGGAGAAGACGACCTTTCTTCACAAGAACTCAGTGTAACAGATATCCAGTCGTTTCAAAACGATGCATCTCTGAATGAAATTTTCCATGAATTCAAAGAAATATTGGCAAAAGAAGCAACCGAAACTTCACCGCTTTCAGAGGTCTTGAACTATAAATTCCCAGTTAGAACAGACGAAATCCCGATTGTGAAAGAAAACGTGCATCCACCTGGACAGATCGTGAAAAGTGTGAGCTCAGATTGTTTAAGCTCGATGGAATGGATTCACCCTGGTGTTTTGAACACTATGGAAGTGAACTTTGCAAATGTTTATGGGATGCGAAGGGCGTTTAGTGAAGGAGACATAAAGGTTTTGTTTTGTTGTTTATGTTTCTGAATTTAGTTGGAAAAACCATGATACATGAATCTCAATTAGTCGAGTTTTCCATGACAGACTCTTGATAATGGCAATGGAAGCCATAGACAGCCACATCTCATGAGTGAACACACCATGGGAGACCGTTGGCAGAAGCTCTCAAGATACAGAAACAAGAAAACAAAGAGGAATTTCGGTAGAAAAATCAAGGTATACTTTTTCTTTTTATAATGTTATATATTAGCCATGGTGCAGGGTATAACATAGTGAAAGTGGTTTCAGTATGCATGCAGAAAGGCATTGGCAGACAGTCAACCAAGGATCAGGGGAAGGTTTGCCAAGACAGAAGAAACTGAAATCTTGAGAAAGTTTTAATGTAGAAAATGTAAAGAAGGAGATGTAGCCAGCCTGGTCAAAGTCAAAGCAGGTTTTGTTAAATAAGGTTCTATTTTAATTTAATTGTATGTTGTTATTAGATTAGTTTCTTGTATATCCCAAATGTTAAACCCCAACTAGTTCTTGATATTCTCTTTACAAATTAGACTAGAACTAAAAGTACTTGTGTTGTTATGTATATATATGTGATCTAAATGTATAATGTCACCTTTTAGTAAAGAGGTATGTAATTTTGGGAGTAACAAGAGCAAGTATATTGATAGTGAAAGGTGATGATTTGAGTTGCATTCATCAATCGGATGTATATGAGGAGGTTTGAGGATTAATAAAGAATATTCCATAGACGATGATAAATTATTCCAAGTAAAATATCTGGATGATAATCATGTATATGCTTAAGGAACTACTACATGGATTTTAAACATGATGTCAAGGAATTAATGATTAAGCCTTTACTTACACTTAAAGAAATGCAAAATGAAATACTTAAGAAATAATTAAAGCACATCTTGCAAATAATGTCACACCATTTTTGTGAAAATATGTCTCTGTTGGCGAAACTCACACATATATAAGATTTAAGTAGAAAATGCTGTGATTTGTTAGTTTTGATAGTGTATATCGATTAGCATGTTGATCTAACGTCTAAATTATCAAAGCTCAACTTATTGAGTTTTATCCCTATTTCATAGTAAAATTTCGATTTCATTTTTTTATTTTTTTTAACCGACGTATTTTTGGATTATAAGTTTTTTGTTTAAACTAAAAGTTAAAAACTCTTACTGTTGAATGATTTTTTTTTTCAAACTAAAAGCTCTCAAAAAATTATAAATTATGTGTCGAACATGTACGACATACTGAGATTTTAGGATTTTGTCTTAGGATCTTAAGATCATAAGTCGATCCTATCCCACCAGTTTATCAATTAATCTCGAAGGCGTATTGTGACACTCGTGGAGCAATCACCGTTTTAATCATTAATCTTGAATCAGATAAAACATTGTGACACTTATAGTATTCTCTTTGTAATTTTATACCTTTAGTGATCACAATAACATTGTTTTTTTTTATTCCTGCTTATATGTTACTTTCTTAAGTTCTTGGATTTATGGCATCTAGATTTATTGTGCATGTTTAACTAATTTAGTTTATTCCATGGTCAATATCTTAACCAAAACATTAACTTTAACTTATACCAATAAACAAGACCTTGTTGTATCTTTCAATCCCTATATCGTTTGATCTCAATTTGATTTTACCATGACAAACGTAAAAAAAATAAAAATAAAATAAAATAAAAAAATAAAATAAAAATCCAAAGTAATTACTTTTTATTCTTTACGTTATGACCTAATTTTTCTCCGGTCTACGCCTCATTTCTCTTGTCGGCTTCTCCTCTATCACAGAGAGCAGACGCGATCGGCGATTCAGAGCCCTAATCGGACTATCGCAGCTGCCCAGCCCCACCATCGTCGGACCATCGAATTAGGTAAGTTCTTTCTTTTAATTCTGGCTTTCGATTGTGTCTTCCGAATTTTTATTTCTGTTTCTAGTGTTCATATTTCACGAATTCAATTGTGTGTCTTCCGATTTTTGATTCCTGTTTAAAAATGTGAACTTTGCAACCCAACAGCAGCAACAATGTATCTCAATATTTCACGAATTCTGTGTTGATTTTTGTTTCCAAATTTGTTCATATTTCAGAAGAGGCGCCACTTCAAGACTCCTAAGAGAGAGCTAATGAGGTCAAACAGTCTCTAGATCTTCGAAGATGAAGACTTTTAACTTCAAAATCGGAAGAACAACAATAGATTGGTGTCTACATCGAATCCGTTTTAGAAAGCCTAGTCTTCAACTCAGTTTAGCCATATCAAGGTAATCATATGATCGTGTGAGCTAAATATCTAATTAGGTTGTATTATTGGTAGATTTATCTTTCCTAATAATTTATGCATTGGTGGATTTTGTTTCAGTTGGATGTCGCGTAGTTTCCGATAAGAATTTAAATTGCTTCCTATTTTTGTATGTGTAAAAATATTCCTATCCAATAAAATTATGGATAAAATTATGATAATTCTATATTTTTTTAACTAACTCATTAAGGCTATATTAGGAATATATCAAATAAAATTAAATTGAATGGTGATTTGTCATAATTTTAGTGGGTAGGAATAATTATAGGCATAAAAGGTAGGAGGTAATTTAATTTCTCATATGGAAATAAAAATTCCCCACTAGCCATCGTTTGTTTCTCAGGATACACAACAAAATACAATATCTGAGACCTCTGAATATAACTAGACCTTATTTTACTGTTGTGAGAGAGTTTCGATGTTGTTGTAGTAGTACGGATGACAATATGAAACAAGCAAATTTTTATGGTGTTTTTTTTTGTGTATGAATGCCCTTTTTATATATCAAAAACTTTCAAAAATAACCATAATTATAATCAAAACTAAAAATTAACTATGATGATTTAATTCAATTTTAGATTCTTAACTATAAAACCGAAAACATTTAATTACAATTTTTACACATATGTTACGAGAAGAAAAAAACTGTTTGCAAAATAGAAATTTCATGAAATAACCAAAACTTAAGGGGTGTTTTAAGTATTTAGCCACAAAAGTTTGAGTTTTGTAAAATGACCATCAGATCCGCAGAGGGGGCTCTGCGGATCGCTTAATGTCTCTAAGGAACTTAACACACCTCTGCGGAAATGAGGTGACAACACTCAAAGATATAAAGCGATCTGCAGAGGTGTTCACAAGATCAGAGACACCTCTGCGGAATCTTAAAACCCCCAAAAAAAACTATCTTTTAGTGCTGCCACATCATTTCCGCGGAGGTGTGTTAAGTTCCTCAGAGACATTAAGCGATCCGCAGAGCCCCCTCTGCAGATCTGGTGGTCATTTTACAAAACTCGAAATTTTATGGCTAAATACTTAAAAGACAAAATTGCAAAAATGGTCCCTGTGGTATGCAAAATTTTGGGGTTTTAGTCCAAACCATGAGTTTTTTGGATCCATGGTCCTTTTGGAGTGGTTTCTATGTGGTTTTGGTCCCTGGACTTAACTCCCGTTAAGTTGGATCTGTTAAGCCCCCTTACGTGCCTCACACGTGAGGGTAATTTCGTCATTTCATATGTTAGGGACCATTTTTGCATGAACGTTTTTTGGATTAATTCCTTTTTCCCCTCATTTACTTTCCCCAACACTCGTCAACTCCCCAACTCCCTCATTCTTGCTTCTGCTCCATTGAACCTGCAAAAAACCCTCGTTGCTTATCCAAACAAGATAATCGACACTACACATACAAGGGCATACGTTTAATACGAAATGGTGTTCGTAATGTGGCATATCAGACCAAAACACGAAGTTGTTGATGTATCAACTGTATATGGTAAGTTGCTCTGTTTTCTTTAACTTTTATACTTTGCATTTTCTTATTGATTTAGAACAAAAAAATGCAAAATTTTGACTTTGTTAATATGTACAATTTTGATTTTTAGCTGGTGCACCCACATGGTTTAGTATTAAGCTTCATCACGGTGGGAAATTTACTAAGTTACCTGATATAAAGTACATTGGAGGTGAAGTGCGTTATGTTGATTATGTGGACATTGATGAGTTTTCTGTGCATGAACTTGATTCCATAATGCTTGACCTAGGTTACCCAGACCCACGGAATCCTGAATTCGCTGATGAATCCCCAGTTATATACTACCATTTTAGGATACCCAATGGTGACTTTCAATTTGGTCTTAGAGCTTTAGGGAATGATCAGGATGTGATCAACCTTTCTAAATACATTGCACATAACAAGCTGATTGAGGTGTACACAGAGCATGGAAAGACAAATTTACTGACTTACTTCATGTCACCAAATGCAAAGGGTAAAGTTGTCATTGAGGAATTACCAGAAAATGATGATCAAGGGGCTGAAGTTGAGGGTCAAGTTCATGCAGATTCTCCAATGAAAAATGTGAACCATGGTAATGGTGAGCCTATTGGTGAGTTCATGTCTCTGATTCTTTTTGGGAGTAAGAATGATAGTTTCTCACCAGAGTATAGAAGGGGTAGGGTTGGGAGTTCCAATATAGGTGAAAGTTCTTGTAGCAAGAGGCTTAATTTAGATTATATTGATGAGGGTGTTCACATTTCAAAGGAAAAGAATGATGATCAGGATGGTTCAACTGATGTTCAGGAGGCAGCAACTTGTGTTCATATTGATGAGATGGATGGTGTTAGGGAGGCTGCAACTGTTGTTCAAGAGGCATCAACTGTTGATGAAGGATGCTACAACACCCCCCTGTTAATAATGCTGATGAACAATTGAATGAGTTATTTGATAACCTTATGGAAAATTTGATTGGGAGTGATGATGATAATGCAGAGTATGAAGGGGATGGAGAATCTGAAGAGGGTAATCAAGAGTATGAAGAGGATGATGAATCTCAAGAAAGTGATCCAAATTTTGAAGAGTATGATGAATCTGAAAATAGTGATCCAGGGTATGAAGAAGATGAGAGACAAATAGAAGATGAAGATCATGTGGATGACATAATGGATGTTGATAAAATATACAGGATGTGAATGTGGACATGGGAGACTTCACTCTCAATGTTGAAAGTGATGTGGAAGGTTCTTGTATAAATGTTGTTCATGGGCATGAACCTGAAGATATGGAAGTGATCAACAATGAGGAATTTGAATCTTTGGATGAAGGATCTGACCAAGACAGAGAGAGAAGAGCTCTTATCAGGAATTTGAGAAAAGAAAAAAAGGTGCAGTCTTGGGGCAGTACATAAACAATCATTTTCAGTTGGAGATAAATTTAATAGTAAAAAAAGAATTAAAGGAGGCAATTGATCTGCATGCACTAGAATCAAGAAGGAATCTTTTCTTTAAAAAAATGACAATGTAAGGCTTAGGGCACAGTGTAGAGGAGTTGTACCTGTCACCAATAAAGGCCAAGTGGGTAGTCAAGCTACCACTTCAAAAAGAAAGGGTAAAGAATTAAAGACACAAAAAGTAACATGTGGTTGGTACATTCATGCATCTAGGTCAAATCCTGAATCCGACTGGTTTATAAGGACCTTAAACCAAACTCACACATGTTTGCAAACAAGGAAACTCAGGGCTTGTACTGCTTCTTTAATCAGCAAGAAAATCTTTGATCAAGTTGAGGCGAATCCAGATATATCTTTGAGAGCCATACAAGATCACTTTCAAAAGACCTACCAAGTGGGTGTTACTATGGACAAGGTGTTCAGGGCAAAGGATAAGGCAAGAAAGCATATAACTGGGGACTACACAAAGCAGTATGAACTGTTGAGGGACTATGTTCTCGAACTTCAAGCCACCAACCCAGACACCACAGTGAAAATAGATGTATGTTCTGAGCCTAACCCTGATTCCCCAACCAGGCAGTTTAGAAGAATTTATGTGTGTTTGGGTCCACTGAAAAAAGGGTTCAAGGAATGCCTTAGGGACTTATTAGGTTTTGATGGTGCCTTCATGAAAGGACCATTCCCTGGGCAGGTCCTTTCAGCAGTTGGTCTTGATTCCAATAATGGAATTTACCCATTAGCATATGGGATTGTTGAGTCTGAAAACACAGAAAGCTGGAAATGGTTTTTAGATAACCTTGGGGATGACTTTGACCTTGGAAGAAACTCAAATTTTACTTTCATAAATGACAGGCAAAAGGTAAAGCTGGAAGTGGTTTTTATACATTTGGTCATTTAAAGTGTGGTTTTAAGTTAATTCTAATGATTGACAATTGATTCTTGCAGGGTTTACATATTGCAGTTGAGCAATTGTTTCCCAATGCTGAGCATAGATATTGTATCAGACATATTCATGACAATATGAGGAAAAGATGGAGGCAAACAGAGTACAGGGACCACTTGTGGAGGTGTGCATCAGCTACCACCATTCCTGAGTTTGAACATTTGATGAAGGAGTTTAGTCAGTATGATAAAGAGGCATGTGAATGGTTGAAGCAAATTCCTCCTGCACATTAGGCAAGGAGTCATTTTTCAGGTAAATCTATATATTCCAATTTGGTCCTTATGTCTTTCACTTAGTGAACTGTTTTACTTGTATGTGAATTGTATTAAATGTTTTTTAATAGTAATGTACAAACAGGAAGAGCAGTTTCTGATGTGTTGATATCAAACATGTGTGAAGTGTTTAATGGGAAGATAGAGAAAGGAAGGGATAAACCTGTCATTGGATGTTTAGAATACATAAGGGAGTATCTAATGAAGAGGATATGCAATGTCATGAAGGAAATGAAAAAGGCTAAAGGTCCACTAACACCCACAGCAACAAACATCCTAGCTGCAAGAAAAACAGTTGCTTCACAATACATTGCTAGGTGGAATGGGGGAGACAAGTATCAAGTCACAGGAGCTTTGCAGGTCAACATGTGGTTGATGTTAGGAACAAAACATGCACTTGCAGAAAATGGGAATTAATTGGAATTCCATGCAGACATGCAATTGCAACTCTGAATGAGATGAGTAAAGACCCAGAGGCTGAGCTTGACATTTACAAATGGGTTCACAAGGTGTATTTTCTAGAGACATGGAAAAAGGTTTATTCTTTTAAGGTGGAGCCAATTAAGGGTAGATCCATGTGGCCCAAAAGTGAATGTCCCACAAAGCTAATCCCTACTCCACATCGCACTTAGGTGGGAAGGCCTAAGAAAAAGAGAAGACAAAGTGAGGGTGAAAGGTTAAGGTGATGGAGTGAATGCTACACAAGAAGGAGGTTCCCAAAAACCAACACATGATGGAGTGCAGAAGCTATCAAGGAAGCATATCAGTGTTACTTGTAGCAAATGCAAGAACAAGGGACACAACTCTAGGACCTGTAAAGGGCAAGGTGGGAATTAGTCCAAGAAGTAATGTGTCATGCATGCATGAAGTTTTCTATGATTTGATTGGTTATGAAAACTTGGTTGTTATGTTTACAATATTTTGTTGAAAACTTTTGGTTGGTTGTTATGAAAACTTGGTTGTTATCTTAGGTATGGTAATGTGTCCCTTTTGGTAATGTTTAGAATCTTTGGTTGTTATGTTTAGAAACTTTGGTTGTTATATTACAAAATCTTAATGAAATGTGCATTTTGGTTATGTACAATTGGTTCTAATATATACATTTTGGTAATACATTCATACCATTTCTATTCATATGTTAATTCTGATACATTCATACCATTTTGGTAAAACATTCATTACACTTGCATCATAAAATTGTACATATATCATTATCATCATAAGTCACTACAAACATGATCACATAAAATTACAACAAAATGACCAAAACACCCTTCAGAGTATACCCCTATACAAACCAATTACAGAAGAATACAATCACAAAGAAAAACCAACTTCCAAACATGTACATTTTCAGCTTCAAATTGTCATCCTTCAATGCTTTGACATTTTCCACCAACATGTTGTTCCTGCATATCAGTCCATTGCATTGATCCTGTAGCATGTTCATACTTCTAACCAACTCATTGCACCGTTCCTGCACTGAATTCAAATTTCTTAGCAGACCAGGTATGATGGCTTTCGCCCTAACACACATTGGGGGATCAAGCCACCCAATAAACCCACAAACGGAATCATTCATAGGGCATGCAAAAAATCTCCTTCCTGGATTCAGAGGGGTCCAAGACGTTTTCACCATAGCAACTTTTCCACAAAAACATAGCACCATTTTTGTTGTAACAGAGCTCAAGAAGAAGAAGGGTAGAAGAAAAGAGACGTTGGGGAACGTTGGGGAAGAAGATCGCAGGAAGTGGGGGTATTTAAAAGGAATAAATCCAAAAAACGTTCATGCAAAAATGGTCCCTAACATATGAAATGACGAAATTACCCTCACGTGTGAGACACGTGAGGGGGCTTAACTGATCCAACTTAACGGGAGTTAAGTCCAGGGACCAAAACCACATAGAAACCACTCCAAAAGGACCATGGATCCAAAAAACTCGTGGTTTGGACTAAAACCCCAAAATTTTGCATACCACAGGGACCATTTTTGCAATTTTGTCTACTTAAAACACCCCTTAAGATTTGGTTATTTCATGAAATTTCTCTTTGCAAAATGTATCCGCAATTTTTCTGGCCCGGTGATGGAATTATGGCCGCATGTCATGCACTTGTACACAAGTTTAGTTGTTCATCAAGCTTACAACTACATGGATTGCCTCTATATGCAAACACACTTTCTTTCATAGGTTTATCACAAAAATGCTTTTGAACTAAATAAATGTTGTCAAAAGGTAGCATATTTTTATTTTTATTTTTATTTTTATTTTAAAAAGATCATCGTGATCGGGAATATCATGTTTTCGCTGTTACAATGATACTTTAAAAACAAAACAAAAACAAAAATTTGTTACCTTGTGATAACATTTATAGCTCAACTGTATATTTTAAACGTTTTGGTTAGCTTGTTTATCATTGATTTATTATTACCTTGAAAATTAGCCCATCGACAACTTAAAGTTCCGCATGTACCCACTTTTATTTTTTTATTTATCCTAAATTATAGTATATAATATTAATTTCCATGAGGCTCATGAACAGTAAACTTTGTGAGTCGTCTTCGTTTTGAAGTTGCACACATTTGGTCTCTTTTGTAGGACCTAGACACACGCGTACTTTGTGTAGCTTCATCGTCTTTATGCTCCAATGGATTTCTTCCACAACACCTACACAATGTCTTTTGCTTTCCTACACTGACTGCCGTGTTGTATAAATTAATCCAAATTGTCATCATGTTTCTCAAAGTTCTTTGCATCCATTTCAATAAATCTAGTTGATTTTTTAGGTTTTACTAAAGAAAAACTCAAAGTGTTCCAATAATACTATTCATTGTTCTAGGTTCATCTAGCATTTTCAACGGGTTGATTTCTTTATCATTTGTCCTTAATTAATATCTCTCTTGAGTGATCTATGGTTGCATCATCATACTTCTTAAAGTTCTTCGTATCTAGACTATTGATTGTAGGATTGTAATACAGTTAGCCATGTGACAAATGACATAGCCAAATATAAACTAACATCAATAGAATCTCACTAAAAATGCTAGGAAGGATCCAAAATTTCTCTACTCCATTGATCTCCACCAATGGAATGTGTTGGATCCGAAATCACCACAACATCGTGTTACACAAAACATACACAGGCACACATGCACATATAAGAAATAAGTCGCATCTTTCTATATTCAGACATATTTTCAAATGAAAGAGATAATTAATTTTGGTAAATGCCTACTAATAAAATACTACCCAATTTGTTAAAATTAAAAGACATACTTAATTTATCTGAATGGTCACATTTCAAAAACGATTTATAAAATACTAATTCATTTAGAAGAGACATACTTAATTTCTCTAAATGACTACTAATAAAATATTAATCCATTTGTTAGATATACTCAAATTCTCTAAATGGTCACATCTCAAAGGCGATTAATGAAATACTAATCCATTTGAAGGCGACATACTCAATTCTGTAAATGCCTACTAATGAAATACTAATTCATTTGTTCAAGTTAAATAGACATACTCAATTTCTCAAAATGGCCACATCTCAAAAAGCGATTATATGTCAATCTTAAGTTGTTGAAGTGCTACCCTTCAAAGTAATAATAATTTGGGGATACTGACATATATTTGTAACAAACTATTTAAAGGGTTTCAAAAATACCAATTAACTATAAATATTGTATTATTGTTAGAAGGTGGCAAATGTTTATTTTTGTTTTTAAAAACCATTGTAACCGAGAAAACCTATTAATCTAGTTATCGTCGTCGCTACCGCATATACATTCAGTTCTTGATCTCCGCTGGCATCCCTCTTCTGCCTTTTATCTGCATCTATGAATATGTTTTATGTTTTTTTTTTGTTTTTCCAGTTTAATCGAGATATCCTGATCAAACTGTAAGGAGATGTTAGTACATATGTTAGCATTTAAGGTTTAGGCTCAAGACCTTTAGGGTTTAGATCGGCCCAATAGCTCCTTATATATCTTTATTTATATAAGGTTTAACCCTCATTATTAATAAAAACAATCTATTCTTTATTACAAACAAAACTTGGAATTTCCAATAATTTTATGAATAAAATGATAGATACATTGTTTAATTTCTATAGTAACAAACAAATATAACATTGTTATTTAGACATGCTACTAATTAATAATTGCATTGGAGAAAATATATTTAGTATATATATCAAAGATCGAAACATAATTTATTATTTTATTATTTTTTACAATAATAATGGTATGCATGTAATATGTATAGTAACCTTATAATTTTCTTTTGGTCAAAGAATATTTCTTTTCCATAAAAAAAGACGATAGAAAAAGAAAAAGATACTTGTTTTATATTGCTTCCACGTCACAATACCAGGACAAAACAGTCATTTCACTAACCTCTCCAACCATATTTATATACATGTGTCCATCCCGTTGCACCATTTTCATCGTCTCCATTCCAACTACGAAAAAGAAACCCCAAGACGCTCGACCAGAAAGTGCGCGACTGTGCGCTTTTCTGCACTCTTTCGGTTCTTTTTTTTTTGGTTCTCCCCTTTCCTGAAATTTTGTATAGATTACACATATACGTACACATTTAGATAATCAGAACTGACGCCATCACAGGTATATACGATTTCATCTATGATTTCGCTTCAAATGGACGTTTTTCTTGTATCGTTTGCCGTTTTCATCTCTTTTAATCGAATGCTTATGGTTCTGTCTCCGTCTCTGTTTGATCGATTGATGGGGAAATTTAAGTATCCAGCGCCTTGTTTTATCCTCATAGTCATAATTTCAGTCGTTGCAGTCGCTTTTCCCCTTTAATCGTTTAATCCCTAGCTATTTTTTCAACAGTCTGGTAGTGGTCAAGAGTAAAGTTTAAGTACTTTGTTTTATTATGGATAAATTGCTTATGCATCTAAAATTTTGGTATAGTTTTCTCTCTTTGACACGGTTCTTGATCTATAGCTTCAATGACACGCTGTTTACATGTGCCTTCTTGTTAAAAGTGGAGAGTTACTTTACGTAAATACTTATACATTCATTGCAGAATTTTTTGGTCTTACTTTTAATGGAATTACCTTACATAAATATCAGATGTTGTATCTGTTTTTCATACAACTTACACTAGTAATCTGTCCTAATTAATATGAATTCAATAGTATAAGAATGCCATTGGTGTGTTTTATCTGTTTTTGGTTGTTTGATTCATTTCTTTCATGTTCATGTTATATATTATCATTTTTTAAAGCATTATTCATGTAATAAGTTGAAATTCTTTTGGTTAGAGGCTGGAGCTGGACAAGAAAAGGCGAATATATGGAGGGAGACGCAGGAAGAGATTTGGGATGCCAGAAGACTATGGATGGGAAGGTGAATGAGGACAGGTGTCACACTGTTATCCCTTCTTGTTGCCTGAAAGCTCAGGCATACACCCCTGACCCTGAGCTTCAAGCCAACTGCCATGCAACAGTTGTTTCTGGATGGTTTTCTGAACATCAATCTTCTTCTGGTCATTCACTCATTCCCTTTCTTTCTTCACTTATTTGCATACATTTTGTCATTTGCATTCCATTTTGACCCTTTTTCCATTCTCCTTTTCAGATAATAAGGCTAAAAGAATGTACTTCCACAACCCCATGTGGCCAGGGGAAGCACATTCATTGGCTGTAGAAAAGATTTTGTTCAAGGAAAGGTCAGAATATCAAGAGGTCCTGGTTTTTGAGGTATTCACATAACACATTTCAACATTAACAAATCCTGTATTTGAATTTCCGTGTTATATGTTAATTATTTATTTGATTTGGATTGCAGTCTGCAACATATGGAAAAGTGCTTGTTCTTGATGGGATTCTTCAGCTGTCTGAGAAAGATGAATGTGCATATCAGGAGATGATAGCTCATCTTCCCCTTTGTTCCATCAAATCACCCAAAAATGCAAGTTCTTGTTTATTTCTTTTCTTGTGACACTGATATTTCTCTAATTTATAAAGAAACTAAATGTATATTGTGGTGTTGTGTTGTCTATCTACAGGTTCTGGTTGTGGGTGGTGGTGATGGAGGGGTACTTAGGGAAATTTCTCGCCACAGCTCCATAGAGTTGATTGATATATGTGAAATAGATAAGATGGTTATAGATGTATGTTATGAAAAAAATTAAAAATTTTTGGTTATTGTTTGATTTTACAGATTCTCATTGTGAATTTTATTTTTCTTGATTGTAGGTTAGCAAGAAGTTTTTCCCTGAGTTAGCTGTTGGATTTGAGGATCCTCGTGTTCATCTTCATGTTGGTGATGGTAAATATTTCAAGAATGTTTATATTGCTATTTTATTATAATAAGTCTTTCTTTGGTATCTAATTTTTATATATAATTTTTTACAATAGCTGTTGAGTTTATAAGGAACATACCAGAAGGAAAGTATGATGCTATTATCGTTGATTCTTCTGATCCTGTGGGTCCCGCTCAAGAGCTTGTGGAAAGGCCTTTCTTTGAGATGTTAGCAAAAGCTTTAAGGCCTGGTGGTGTTCTTTGTAACATGGCTGAAAGCATGTGGCTCCACACTCATCTCATTGATGATATGATTTCTGTTTGCCAAAAAATATTTAAAGGCTCTGTTCATTATGCATGGGCCAGTGTCCCCACATATCCAAGGTACGATTTTTTGTTTTTTTTTTTACAGAAAAAAAAGAAAGAAAAGATATTTTAATGCAAGTTCTTTGGTTTTGCAGTGGTGTTATTGGATTCATTTTGTGCTCAACGGAGGGCCCGCCTGTTGATTTTAGGAACCCTGTAAACCCTATTGAGAAGCTACAGGGAGCACTCGAGCATCAAAGAGAACTCAAATTCTACAACTCACAGGTGTGTTTGAGTTTTTTTATCACTTGATATGTTATATACTTTTTTTTTTTTTTTTTTTAATTAATCTTGGAATTTGATATAAATTGTTTTTACTTTATATGACAGATGCATAGAGCTGCATTTGCCTTGCCATCATTTGTTAGGAAAGAGGTGAAATCTCTTTGATTGTTTTCTTATTATGTCTTGTCTTGTGTTAGTGATACTCTTTTGGGTGTAGACTTATGACATATTGGAATTAAAATAATTGGTGGGATTTGGAAAAGATTTCGTTGTCTATTGTATGTGAATCCAATTTACAATGAGATTTTTCTTGAATCATTTGGTTATGGTTAGAAATAAATGTTTGATGATCCTATGATAAATGATTCATGGCTGGTTGATCGTTGATGTTTTTTTCCATGGATATAGATCTATGTTCTTTGTTCTTTGTATGTGTTTAGATGCTATGACATGATATCATGCCACACTAGGATTTGTTGAGAGGCAATGATAACATAGATATGGAATGCTGAAATCTAAATTCTAACATCATGTTTTTGAGTTATGATGATATTGATGGCAGTGAAGAAATCATAAAATCCCCTCCAATTGGCCTCAAATTCCCAGTTTGAAGTTAGGGATAACTAACGTTTTATAGCCTTTAGCCCTTTACATGGCTATCTGAAATCTAATTGGTTTGATGGAAATTAGAACCAACTTTTTACCAAGTTCTTAACTTCCAAGACAAAATGTAATAGTCGTTTTTAAAAGTGAACACACATCCTATAAAATGATGTGTTTGTCATTATGCATTTGTGTTTTTTCTTTCTTCTTACAAAACAAAACATCCTTTTAAAATAATTATTAAAGTGTGACGTGGATTCTATTGACCCGAACAAGTGACCTGACTCGAAACAAAGTGAAGAAACTTGCACGACGATTTCAAAGGGATGAGGTATGGACCTGTTTAGTTGTATATGTATTCGATTTAATAATATTCGTAATTAGAAATTCCAATGTCTCACTTTGAAAACAATGGATGATATAAGTGTTTTCTGGTTTCTGTCCATGCATGTATGATTGTAGGTCACACCGATTGAACCATATTAATTCTCTATGTCGTTTTATTGTTTTCCCTTGATTGCTTGCGTAACAAGAATATTTAAATATATATTATTTTACAAGTTTAGAAATGACAAAATGAAAGAAGCACGGTTTGCTCCCATTCTCACTTATAGCAAACTACTAAAATTATTTTACAAAGATAACATGTGTTTCATCCATTTTGAAAGTTAGTTGCAACCTAATACATTTTGACCGTTAAAAACTAACATTTACTTATATGATAAGTATAACACTTTTTAGTTTGAGTTTTCAGAAGATGTAATAGTTTATACGTTGGTATAATTTCTTATATATGTTGAACAAAACCCATCACATATTGATTTATATATTTACACAAGTCTTCAAAGAAAATCGTATCCACTAATATACTACAGAGCAGTTGCAGCAGCAACAACAATAACCTCAACATACCTTACGAATCTCATTACAATGGTATATGGGGAGATAGATGTCGACATTCATGTCATCATATGGGGAAGATTGATTGATTGTGTCACATATGACCTCCAACATGTGAAAATCAAGAACTTATAAATGGGAAAACAAACAACCAAGTAGCAAGAGAAGAGTTAGGCGGTGATAATAGTAAGATGGAAATATTGATAGATCGACAAGTAACGGTATATGAGATTTAGCAAAAAAAGGTGGGATCATTCATAGTGTGATGTACCAATTCATGAAATAGTGCAACATATAAGTATATGAACATGAATAGGTACCGACAATAAAGATCAGGAAACAAAACATACATGAGGGCTAGGCTACTTATCTACCTTGATTTTAGTCTCCACACCATCCTATCTGAGGTCATGTCTTTGGAAAGAGAAAACTTATCTATGTCTAACCTCATACTATTCTCCCACTTCCTTTTTGGATGTCCTCTTCTCCAAATCAACTTAATCGACATTCTCCAGATTTTTTTTTTTTTTTTTTTTTTTTTTTTTTTTTTTTTATCTGCGACACTCCCAACGAATTTCATATCTTAGAATTTGATATCCTATCCAACAAAGTTCTAGTGCTTATCTACCTCAACATCCTCATTTCTACCACTTCTATCCTTCTACTACTTCTATCCTCTGATCGTGGTCTTTCTTACTTGGCCAACATTCAAATACATACATCATGGTAGGCTGACAACTACCCCATACAATTTTCCTTTTAATTTCAACAATATCTTTTTATCGCCCAAGACCCCAATGCCGCCCTCCACTTTAACCAATTTTTTTATGTGACATGTGATGTCTACCTCCACACCATCTCCCTTATGGATCATAGACCGTAGATACTTGAAGCTTTCCTTCAAGATAAGAGCTCCATCTCCTTTATGGATCATAGACCCTAGATAATTGAAGCTTTCCCCAACTGAATTGGTTTCCTATAATAGTCGTGATGCTATACAACCTAGTATCTAAAATTCTCTCTAATTATTTTATGTCATGACTAAGAAGCATAATACCTATATAGTTCCCATAGTTTTGAGTATCGCCTTTCTTATTATATAGGGGGATCAAATTACGTGATCTCTAGTCTCCTAACATCTCCGCAGTCTTAAAGATAATGTTAAATAAGTTAGTAAGCCACTTAACGCATTCTTTTTTTTAAGACATTGCCAAACCCTAATAAGAATTTGATTCAAACCAACCACTTTGTTCCTTCCTAGCTTCCCCAAATCTCTCTTCACTTCACCGCTACTAATCTTCAAGTAAGAACCTATAAAAGAAGTTTTGAGCATTTTATTTGTCGATGATAAAATTTCTTTAAAAATACCCAATTTTTCATAAATAAAATAATTTTTTTAGTAGTCTTTTGAATAATAAATAAAATACTACTGAAAACCCAAAAGCTTCCAACCCATAAGTAGTAGAGGTTGTGCCGGTAGTTGAAGCAGTCACGATGGCAGGAGTCCAAGCACTTATTCGGGTTATGCTAGTTGAGCAAATGGAGCATACGAGATAACTAGGAGAGAAGTCACAACACCAACTGATGATCCATTATTGAATGAGGGTCAGTCCAAAGAAAGAAGCTACAGTCGGACCGTGGACCAACCTGAACCACGAAGGGTTAAAAAGAACAATTGTGACTAAGAGGTTGAGAGGAATGGATGCGAGTACAAGGACTTCATGGCTTCCAAACTACCAAGTATTTCTGGTAGCTCAACACCAATGGAAGTTATTGATTGGATCACCAAGATGGAGATGGTGTTTAAAAGTTGTGATTACAATAACCAACATAAAACCATTTTAGCTGTCATACAACTAAAGACTAGAGTATTGAGCTATTGGAAAATGTTGGATGACTCCATGCCGAAGGGAGAAGCAAGGAAGATGTATTGGGAGAACTTCCTTGAGGAGTTAAAAATGTAATATTTCTCTCAACAAGATCTTCTGGAGATCAATAATTGTAGCGCCCATGTTTCGAGGCTAAGCATTGATGCGACGATGTAATAGTTAGGGTCAACAAATGTAACTCAATTTGAAATAATAAAAATGAATTATTTGAGTATTATGTGAATTATGGGAATTTATGTTCTTTATACTTGTTTATAATGATATAATAAAGTAAAAATGAAAATAAGCATAAAAAATAGAATGTTAGATAAACCCGATATCTATGAAGAAAGTTGTAGTGGTCATGACAAGGATTCCGGAGATATAAAGAACGTCGAAATCCGAGTTATAACGAAGAAGTTATGACTTGTCGAAGTTTCGCGACAAAACCAGCGCGACGCTGTGTGACGTAAAAAGTGAGTTTACGATAAAGAGCTTTTTAGCCTTAGCGATCTAAACGAAAGTCGTAGTATACGTTAAACCGAGAGCATGCATAAAAAGAACGTTCAAATCTGACTTCGTATGAGGAAGTTATGAATTTTCTAAAATTTTACATAACAGTGTGTAGCCTGAAGTTCGAATTTTAGATCGATCAACTTTTAGCCGACACGACCAAAATGATAATTGAATATCTCATTAATAGGAGTTCAACGATAAAAATACAGTCGAAAACGGAGTCTGTATGTAGAAGTTATGAATTTTACACGGTCCTTAAACAGTGTAATCTTCTCATACTGTTAAATATAAAATCGGTCGAGAAATAGCCGATGGAGTCAAAAGGAGAGTTGTATATCTTGTCAATACCTACACGTGGATATAAATAACGTTAAAACGGAGCTCGTATGCGAAAGTTACGGGGTTTAGAATTCGGAAGGGTGCTGCTGCGAAGTGGGTGACGTGACGCAATCTGAGCCATTGCTTTCTCTCCACTAGATGACGAAACGTGGCACCAACTCGACGAGTTTGGGGGCCAGAAACTCGATGATTTGGGCCAGAACTCGACGAGTTCATCACTTTTTCAGCCTATAAATACCAACCGAGGCCAACCTTCATCCTTCACTCCTTCCCCACTTCGTTCTCTCTCTATACATTCTCTAAACCTCCCAAAACACCGCCAAAAGTAGGAAACTTCCCTAGCACTAGAAGAAAGCCCCGGAGCACCAGAAGGCTCCGAGAAAAAGAGTTTTTCGGTTCGGAAACTCTGCCCCGTAGAGCCCGGTTTTCAAGCAAACCTCCCGGTTTCGTCGAAGCGAAGCGTTGTCCAAGTTGGAATCACCACCTTATCAAGTGAGTGTATAGTTACTTTCATCTTACACATAGATATGAAGTATTTTATACAAATTACGTGCTATGTGTTCATATTATCTGTTTACTTGAGATCTATGCTGAATGAAAGATTTAAACTTCTTTTTTCAGATCTAAATTGTATATTTATTTTATATCTTAAGATCTATGCTGGACGAACAATTTTGTGCATGTTTTTAATGATTTAAACTGTATATGTATTTTATATCTACAAATATGTTAGGTTAAACTGTATATGTTTTTAATGATTTAAACTGTATATGAAATAGTTGATGTGATGAAATAAAATGATGAGAAGCCTCGGTGTTGACGATGATCCAGTCATCTAGTGGAGTATGGATGACGACCACAAACTTTTCTAGACAGTCCAGTGGAACGCTAGAAGGCTCGCAACCTGTAGGTGTTTGTGAACGATGTGTTAACCGGTGAACTCCATCCCCCTCATGGTTGCCTTACGAACATATATGGCTGAGGAATCCCCTTAGCAGTAGTGTCCATCCCGATGAAATTCCTTAGGATAGGTCCCTTATGATAAATGATTTAAGGACGCAAAGTGAGGATAACGGGAACAGGTAATCGGGTTGAATGATTGTTG